TAGTTGATCTGCTATTGTATTTTTGTTTCTGGTTTCCTCTTACGCGTTCGCGAGAGGGGCGTCGCATTCGCGAAGAGTGTTCTGAGATGGTGAAGTTTTGTTCTACGCATTCACGAAGGAGAGGATGCGAACGCGAAGGGCAGAGCAGTGTGTGAATCGTGAATGCGTGAGTAGTGTCGCATTCGCGAGGAGGAGTGAGGCAATTGGGGACCCCAGGTCCTTAGTCTATGCGTTCGCGAGGTAAGGGTCGTGTTCGTGAAGGTTTAAGCTGGTAAAGCATCGCGTTCGTGAAGCAGTTGTTGCGTGCGCGAAGAGGCAGTCTGAGTTGGTCTATACGAATGCGAGAGGACAATTGCGTTCGCGAAGAAGGAAATCGGGGCAGACTGTGTTAAATTCAAAATCTAGGGTGTGAGCTCATTTTTCATATTTTGAGCTAGAGATCACGGATTTGGGCGATTCTTGAAGGGATTTTCGTGGAGTTGATTGGGGTAAGTGTTTCTCACTTGATTTTGGTTAAATCCCATGATTATATCTTTGATTTTATCATCTAAATTGTGATTTGGGGTGAAAATTTTGAGGAAAAAATAGGAAGTGTTCTTGAGATGGAATTTTGAAGTTTTGAATGGGATTTTATTATCAGATTTGATTAAATTTTGTATGGTTAGACTCGTGAGTGAATGGCTTTCGGGCTTTGTGACTTTTGTCGAATTTCGAGATGTGGTCCCGGGGACTGGGTTTGAGCTGATTTCGGATTTTTGGCTATAATTTGGTATTTTTCTTGTGGAATTGATTCCTTTAGCCTATATTGATCGTATCGTATTGCTTGTGGCTAGATTCATGACGTTTGGAGGCTTATTTGAGAGGCAAAGGCATTGCGGAGTATGATTTTGCTTGGTTTGAGGTAAGTAACGCTTCTAAACTTGGTTTTGATGGTTCGAAACCTCAAATTATGTATTATGTGATTGGTATTGAGGTGACGCACATGCCAAGTGACGGGTGTGCGAGCGTGCACCGCAAGAATTGTGACCTGGGTGATTCCATGGCACCATTTAGTGACTCTATCCTGTTGATATCTATGGTTTCATTATGTGATAAAGTAATTGAGCTGTAAATCAGGATAGATATCATGTTTAGGTTTTATGCTAGTATTTTTGGGACCCTTAATGGTCGTTTCTTGCTGTCATCTCATTATTTTCATTAATATTCTGTGCTCAGTCATGTTCATGCATTTTTATATCATATCTCAGTCTCAGTTAGTTATTGAATCATCATATCATTGTTCCAGGTTATTTTCATGACATTGTGAGCCCGTGGGTGAGACTGGAGAGATTGATGATTGAGTGAGGCCGAGATCCTGGTTATGGTGACAGTTATGGGATCGAGTTGCACGCCGCAACGGTTATATTGATTATTATGATAGTGCTTGGGCTGTAGGAGCCCATCCGGAGTCTGTAACATACCCCCAGTGAGTGCGGATGATATTATTGAGGGATGGATTTTCCTGGATATGGATTTGTCTGAAGTACTTGATACCTGGAGATGGATTTCTCCACAGGGCTGGATTGCCCTTTTTTCCTCGGTACTGGGTGACTTACAGCCAGTGTTGTATATGTTCCGGGATGGATTTCCCGGGGTCGGATGGCTACATACAGTACCGAGTGGTTGAGCACTTGAGAGTGGGAGCACATGATACATTTCATACAGCCTGTGTATTGGCATGTAGAGATAGCTGAGTTGTATACCTTACACTATTCAGATCTGTATTTACTTTATTGCCTTGAGATGTGTATTTAACTTGAAAGCATGCCTATGTTTCTGCACATTTATTTCTGTCATATCTGTTGCGGTTGAGTTCGTCACTACCTTTCAGTCCAAAGTTTGGACTTGTTACTTACTGAGTTGGTGTACTCACGCTACTCCATGCACCTCATATGCAGATCCAGGCGATACCAGTCGTAGCGGCGGTTGCTGATTGAGGTTCCAGAGTTTGGAGACTAACGAGGTAGTTGCATGGCGTTCGCGGGACTTGACTCTCCTTCTTTATCTTTTGTCGTATTTTTACTTTATTTCTCTTGACACTATAGTGGACTGTATTCTGATCTAGACACTCATGTACTCAGTGACACCCCAATTTTAGGTTGTATACATATCGTATATTGGGATTTCTTATATTTCAAACAGTTTTCTTTAAATGTTAAATGCTTCCGTTAGTGTTTTCAAACTTATTGTTATTGTGTTGGGTTTGTTGAGTTGAGGCTGGCCTAGTTCCACGATAGGCACCATCACGACGGTTGATTTTGGGTTGTGACAGTAATTTTTTCACTTCATACCTGTTTGGACTTAAGTGCATGAAAATATTTGTTGCACTTCATACCTATTTGGCCTTAGCTTTAAGTGCATTGAACTTCAGACTAATTTGTTTTTTCAACTTCAGACCCAATAAGTCGGAAGTTGATTCTAAAGTGGGTAGACTTGCAAATTTTTATGTAAAGTGGATATAACTTCAATTGTGATCCCAAAATTGGCCGAGACAGGTAGCACTCTGATCGAGGTCTTTTGCATCGATACCCGATTATGGGGTCACAATTGAACCTATACTCACTTTGCAAAAAAGTTTGCAAGCACACCCATTTTACGATCAAATTCAGACTTATCGGGTCTGAAGTTAAAAAAAGCCTGAAGTGAAAAGATTGCACTTCAAATGCATTTAAGGCCAAATAAGTTTGAATTATAATCAATGGTTTCATGCACTTAAGACTAACAAGTCTGAAGTGAAAAATTGCACTTCAGATGCACTTAAGGTCAAAAAGTCGGAAATGCAACAAACGTTTTCATTCACTTAAGGCTAATAAGCCTGAAGTGAAAATTTGCACTTCAGATGCACTTAAGGCCAAATAGGTCTGAAGTGTTATAACCAGTGGTTTCATGCACTTAAGACCAATAAGTCTGAAGTGAAAAATCGCACTTCAGATACACTTAAGGCCAAAAGGTCTGAAGTGCAACAAACGTTTTGCTACACTTAAGGCCAATAAGTTTGAAGTAAAAAATTGCACTTCAGATGCACTTAAGGCCAAAAGGTCTGAAGTGCAACAAATGTTTTGCTACACTTAGGCCAATAAGTTTGAAGTAAAAAATTGCACTTCAGATGCACTTAAGGCCAAAAGGTCTGAAGTGCAACAAATGTTTTGCTACACTTAGGCCAATAAGTTTGAAGTGAAAAATTGCACTTCGGATGCACTTAAGACCAAAAAGTCTGAAGTGCAACAAACGTTTTCAATCACTTAAGGCCAATAAGGCTGAAGTGAAAATTGCCCAGAAACATAAATTTGTTCTTCGAATTATAACAATCCAATATACGATTTAATACCTAAATCTACTCCAAAGGAGCTCAAATTTGAAATATAACCTCCAAGTATCATCAGGAACAGACCCCAATCATCAATTTGTCAAAAAATAATAATAATAAATCTAATGAACCCATTTTACAATTAAGAAAAATAAGAAGAAAAAAACCTAAGCAATAGTAAAAAATAAAGCGTCATAACATCTCACCATTGTAAAACATCATAAACTACATTAAAATATATATTCAAAACCACCATATAAAGAATCATTGTCAGCCGAAGAAGAAGAAAAAGGAGGAGAAGGAGAAGAAAACGAAGGAGGAGAAGGAGGAGGAGAAAGAGGCCTGAAGTTGTTTAAAAAGTGGGTACAAGCAGGGACGGCCCTTCCATAAAGCAAATAAAGCAACCGCTTTAGGCCCCGTATTTATGGGGGGCCCATTTTTTGTTACACCTAATAGACTATATATAAGTTTAAAAAGAGTTTTGTACAGTGAAAAGTTTGATTTCTTTCTACCAAGAAAATTGCACTTGAAATGAATATCGAACCCGAATTTCATAAGAAACGTGTGATATATAGGAAGTAACAATTTGATACAAATATTGATAATGAAATCTCAAAATCTTTCAAAGAGTCCTTTAGAGTTGATTACTTTTATACATAATAGACAAGCTATTTTTCACTTCAAAATAGATTTGGACAATTCGAATCATATAAAAATATTTTTGGTTTTCTATTTAGCAGCAAAACTAAGATCACTAGATGTTGGAAATTTGAAAAAATATTGCCTTAATCGTGAATGTTTCTTAAAACGTAATAATCAATTCGATATTGATGGTTTAGATTTATTTTCTGAATTAAAAGTATTAAGGTAAATAGTTCAATTAGAAGATAACAGTTTAATTAATACACTTAATCAAAGAAAAAGATTTAATTCTTTTCCAAATGCCTGAATTGCTTATGGAATAATGTTAATAACTCATGACCGTTGCTTCAACGGAAAGATGTTTTCAAAATTTAAATTGATAAAATCTTACCTAAGAACAACAATGGCACAAGAAAGATCAAATGGATTAGTTATACTATCAATTGAGAAATACTTATTAGGAGTTATTGATTATAAGAAAATTATTAATAACTTTGTATATAAGAAAAGCTAAAATATAAACTTCAAATAACTAATAAATAAAAAATTAAAAAGTTAAAGCTCCTCATAAAGTTTGGTTTTAGGCCCCAAAATTCGTCGGGCCGCCCCAAGGTACAAGTTAAAAAAAAAAAAAAAACGGGTATAGGTTACATTACATCGAGATTGGGCATTAGCCTTAGCCCAAAGTCTTTCTGTAACGTTTGTTTGCAATTGAACTGGGAATCCAAAAATCGAGTTTGCCTAGATTCAAAAATTGGACTGTAAAATTGGGTTAGTTTTTGACTAGCAGCTAGCTGTGATTTAATTGGCACAGGGATTAATCCGGGATTTTCCAAGCCTCAGGTCGTACATAATGTGTTCGACTATTTGATTCAAAGAGATTTCAGATTTTCAATCGCTCTTTGTCCATTTGTATTTAATAAAAATCTGTCAGTGGGTTCACTCAACCGCATTCACAGTCCTTATTTTCTGCCTTAATATCATTTTGTGTTGCCTTTGTACTTTGAGAAACATGCTTATAAAACGTATCTTGTCATCTTCTATTTCTTCTTCATATGGCTTTTCTTCGTTGTCCACCTCCTCGAATTTGTTAAAAAGCGGAAGCATACTGAAGCAAGCGAGGACATTTTTCGATTCTGATATTATTGAGTATTCCAAGCTGACACACGATACCAATCCATTGCATTTTGATGCTGAATGCGCCAAAATTGCTGGTTTTAGTGACCGCCTCGTTCCTGGGATGCTTGTCGCTTCCTTATTTCCCAGGATTATTGCTGCTCATTTTGTAAGTTCTACATTCCTCAATCCTGTCTCGTTGTTTCAATAGACTTCTCTTAAGAACTTTAAAAACTTCAGAATATAATTTTTATATGACGACGATGTAATAGAATTTTACACCATTTGGTTAGTCAAGTAAATGTCCAAATGCATGTAGCTGTATGTTGTCATCAAGGGCGGATTTAGGGGGACGGGGGTTTACCCGAACCCCTTTCTCTATATATTATGTTTTGAAACCCCTTGTTATAGTCCAAAAGTATAGCTTAGTGGTCAATGAGGTTTAAAACCTTTGTAAGGTCATTGGTTCAATCTTCACTAGCCAATTTTCTTTTTTAAACCTCCTTAGCGAAAATTCTGTCTCCGCCACTAATTGTCATAGTGGATTAGTAACCTGAAAATGATGGTTAAATAATATGTTACAACGATTAAACTACACGTCAGGGTATATGTAATTTAAATCCAAAACTTTGTAATACTTAGCCAAGACTTCAATAGTCATAGAATGGTAAGATAAAAGTCAAGTAGAAGTTAAAGTGTTAGTTGTTCATGTCGAAAAGAAGGTACATAACCTACTACAATCAGCTAACCTACACCGATAGCTTAACATATCCTTAAACTTTTTTGTGTATATAACTTAAAAGTAAATATGATGATATATTTCTTAAAGTAGCTAAATATGCAACATTGTTGAACGGCGAAGGTACTATGTAGATATGTTTTTAAATTGGAAAATTCTTTAGTGTAACTTAAACTATTGTTGTTTGGTAATTTCTCCAGCCAGGAGCTGTATATGTTTCACAAACATTGCACTTCAAATTACCTGTTTATATTGGAGATGAGATCATTGCTGAGGTACAAGCTGATGATGTCCATCTCATTGAAGAAGTATTAGGCATGTGCCTAATAAGAGTTTTCTTTGGTT